TTAACTATAAAATATACATGCCCCACGTCAGGAACCGTTAAATTAGTGCATTTTACACTTATTTTATGTTTTTTAGCCAAAAAAAGGTCAAAAATATTTTGGCCTAACTCCGCTCGCTGAAACATTATATTCTACGCCCATCCTTTCAAAAATTCTGGATCCGAACCTGACCTATAGTTAAAAACATCTTCGTCTTTCGGTGTCTTGTGGATAGTTGTCTCATTGTCAATTATACTACATCTCCTTATGATATATTAAAAGTTTTAAGACCAAACAACATGTCTTTCTTGATCTATTTATCAAAATATAGATGATGCATCTGTTGGTCAATTTGCATATTTAATGTGTATGGTATTGTCGGATTGCTGATATATTCAAAAGAACCTATATGCAACGAATTATTATTTTTTAGGCAGGCATCAAGAAAGAAAAGCTTGCAATAGCTCTTGAACCCGAAGCAGCTTCCATATTTTGTCAGAAATTAAAGACAGATCGATCTGGAAATGAATTTGATGAAACTGTTAAATCTGGGATGAAATACATGGTCATTGATCTTGGAGGTATTTTTTTATAAATTCAAGATGTCTAGAATCGGCAGCTTTTTTATTTATTTATTTGTTTGTTTTGTTTGTTTTTGTTTTAGTTTTGTTTTTGGGTGCACTGGTTTCCATGTTGTGTTACTTTATTGTAGAATACTTTTTATACAGATTTACATCAATTCCTTATAAAATTCATGTGTTAAGAAAAAGTTAACCAAGGCAAAAAATTTCCTTAGTAGGCGACTTATTTTGTTAGTTTTGAGTGCACATTCATGATAATTTATATTGGCAATTTTGGGAAAGACCAATTTATATTGATATTTTCAGAATATTGACAGAAATATTTTTTTACATTATAAGGCGGTACTGCAGACATTACTGTTCACCAGAGAAAACCGGATGGTACAATACAAGAAGTGGTGTCCCCTAGTGGCGGTCCATGGGGAGGTAAATCCATCGATGAGGCATTTCACAAATTTCTGTGTGAAATATGTGGCACAAAAGTAATGCAAGATTTAAAATCGACTGAACTAGAAGATTATATTGATTTGTTTCGCGAATTTGAAACTAAGAAACGTTCCATTCGGAATAGTGCCACAAGCAAGATTGTAATAACACTACCAGTGTCTTTAACGGATTTGGTCAAAAAGCAGCATACAAAGTTTGAAATGGCAGTTGAAAAATCCCGCCACAAGGAAAAAGTGAATTATGCAAAGCAAAAACTTCATATAACACCTGATGCTTTCCGTGGCCTTTTCAAAAACACGATCGATGAGATAATTAAACTAGTTGGAAAATTACTTAATAATGACAAACTGGAGGACCTAAAAACTATCTTGATGGTCGGAGGATTTTCCGAATGTGAGCTACTACAAGACGCTGTAAGATCAAAGATTGGTGCTCCAAGAAAATTGATTATTCCGGAAGAAGCAGGCCTTGCCGTTCTGAAAGGAGCCGTCTTATTCGGACACCAGCCTAGAGTTGTAAGCCAACGTATATCAAGAGTTACATATGGTATTCAAAGTTGGCCGGATTGGGACCCGGATATGCACCCGGAAACAAAAAAAGTCACTATAAATGGCCAAGTGAGGTGCAAAGATGTTTTCTTCAAGTATATGACGAAAGGAGATCAAATAACACCCGGCCATGAAGTATCACAAATATTCCAGGCTCTCAAACCGGATGAAACTACGCTAGAATGTACCGTTTACACATCTTCAGACGAAAATCCGCGATATATCACGGATCCGAGTTGTCAACGGCTAGGCATCCTTACCATCCAATTACCGCCCCATACTGCAGGGCAGACTCTAGAGATAGAAGAAACGCTTATATTCGGTGACACGGAAATTCTATGCAGGGCAAGGGATCTGCGCACAGGAAGAATATCAGAAGTCCAATTCGATCTTCTTTAAACATTCCGTGTTGTGAACAATAATTTGTTTATTGTCTGAATTGCAGAACATGTGATCAATTAATGTCATTTCACTCTGTTTTATATTACATATAAAGAAATTTTACTATGGCAATCAATAAAATGTTTTACGTATTTTAAGTCCACTTCTGTGTAAGACGAAATTATTATCGCGTTAACAGGGAGGAAAAGAAGGAATGTAGTATACCAAAATCTCACACGCACTTGACGAAACCCAAAACAAAAGCAAAGCCATTTATTGTTATTCTTCATCTCGAAGTCACAATGAGGTTTTCAACATGGCACAAAAGTTTGTACCTTACTGTCGAATGCGGGTCGACGAAAGCTTAGAAAATATTTGCTTTCATGACACAAACAAACATTCACAGAAATTGGACTAATTCTCTTGTATGTTCACACAAACATGGTATCACAAAATTAACTCAGACGAATAAAAAGAAACATGGAATATACGTCTATGAGAAAGCAAATCAAGACATAAAAATCAACACTCGTTTAAACTGGGCCGATTTCGTTCCTTTTTTTATACATCATTGGCTCTCAAATGTGGGAGTTACTGATAAAGATAAAAAATAAAAAAAGCGCTTCGGACGCACGAAATGTATAAAGTCTAATTTTCAGTTCTTTAACTAAGACACATTTCAGAGAAATACTGAACAGTGCCTCCCTGACTTTACCCGGTATACATAAAGAAGGATAAAACAACCAGTATATTATAATGGTTGACAAGATAGACAGAACCGATTTAGTCGGATTGATTGATTGCAAATTATGTTCATTGGCAAGTATTACATGCATACCAAGGACGACCAGTCATGCAGCTTGTGATGTAAACAAGTACATGTACACGTGACCTGTACTCTAACCCAGCTTCAGTGGAGGATTTCAGATACAGCTTATGCAAATTTACAAGATATTTATGCTAATTAAGAACAATCCTAGTCAGTGGTGTATTTAATCAAATGTGAAGAATCCTAATGTATCAAACGCCGAAAAGCGATGAACCCTAAATAAGAGATTTGGGAATGGAAACGAGGAATGTGTCAAAGAGACAACCCCCCGAACAAAGAGCAGAAAACAGTCACAACCCGTCTCCCGCTTAAATAGGCGTTAATTAAGGAACCCATCTGGAGTAGAGCCTACAGTTAGTGTCTCAAACAATATTTCAAATCTTTAAAAAAAAGAAGAGTTAGGATATGGTGCTTTGATTAAGGATGTAAAATTTCTCACAAACTTGGAAAAATTAAGACAAAGGAACAGCGCTTTTATTGCTCTTTTTTTCTCAATATCACAGGGGCTTTCATATGTCAATCTCGCCTTGACGGGTGCCACATTTCGAGCAGGATCTGCATAACCTTCCGGAGCACATGAGATCACCCCGGTTTTTTGAGGGGTTCGTGTTGCTCAGTCTTTAGTTTTCTGTGTTGTGTTTTTTGTACTGTTGTTTGTCTTTTCGTCGTTTTTAGTTTTTTACCATGGTATGTCAGTTTGTTTTCGACTTATGAGTTTGAACATCCTTTCGGTATACTTTGCCTTTCTCTTTCCTCTATCATTTATGGAATACTGTATGTTGGCATTTTAATGTGTTTCCTTTATTTGTGTCCTAATAATTGTTGTTTTATTGTTGAACACAAATTAAGCTTAAATAGACAGATGATTTTCCATTCTCCGTAATACATAAAGAAGAAAGCAGGAATATCCAAAATTTTGAAAGCTAATGCAAGATACTAGAGGATAGGCCACACCAACCATCATCGTCAAACTTTTCCGTAGTGTTTTTAATCAGAAATTGTAGATATGTAAGATTAAAAGTACTTTATCTTGAAACTACTATACCAAACTAATTGGAACTTAGATCTATCGTAACTTGAGTCGAGGATATGATTATAAGGATAAAGAAATCAGAGATATATATTTAAATTAGATTGTTATTAGACCGACCAATCTTCTCACCAGACACATAATATGATTATCGTACTGTTGAAGATGTTTACTTTTGGTCAAGATCGGAAATGACGAAGGGTATTAGCAATCCCGTACCATGCGCACGGGAACTGGATGATTTGTTGGGTTTTTTGGGGGGTTTTTTTTTGTTTTGTTTTTTGCTTGTTTGTTTTAACTTTTATTGTTTTATCAGATTTATATTAATTCTGTAACTTACGAGTGAAAACAAATTCTATTTGTTGGGTGGCACAATAAGTGCCCAAGGGAATTCCGATAGTTTGCTGGAATATGTGCCCACCAAATTCATTATATAGAATTACGATTGTCGATACCTGAGCTTTGTAAAAAATCATGATTTCTAAAACAAGATTTTATCTGCACCCGCAGAAAACAGCAGTTTTTGGTCTTTCTTTGTCTAGTCTTTATATCAGGCATAAAGTTAAATGAGTAGAAGGCTCTGGATGGGGTTAACAGAAATAATGATAATGGGCAAAAGGTGCAAAATATAAATAAATAAAAACAAAAATAGAGAAGAATGGGACAAAAGAGAATGATGGACAGAAACGAATAGAGAAATATGGCTTAAAATTAAAAATCAAAGAAATGAAGGTATCCCCATCCAGACCATCGTGTAGAGTGTTTAAACTGTCATATATTCTTCTACCTATCTTAGTTCTACTAAAAATATAGATCGAATGATGGAGTGATATTTACAACGTCAATCGACAGATATTACACGTACATTTGGTACTGTGATAAGATTATTAACATACCGACACTTCAAGTAAACACTTACAGTGTGCGGTCTGACAACCCTATAGACCGGGACACATTACGTTTATCACAAGGATGCCAGTCTTTGCTATTACTCTTAAATGTAGCGTACAGTGTGTACATGAGGAATCATAGCATAGCAATTTTAAAGTCTCTTGTCCCAATCTGCTGTTGGACCTTTTACATCCCGCACTCAAGTCGAGCACGTTGTAAAGAAACCACTTAGAAGTAAAACCATTGTACATGCATCAAAACTGCAACTTTCATGTATCTTCCCTCCAATACAACATTTGTATAAGTCAATTTATTGATTTCTTGTCAAGATAGCTAGAGTTCTGATGAAACGGGATCAATAATATATTGATAAAGTTTCAGCAAAACTAAAATTCTTGAATTTCTATCAACAAGGAATGTAAATCATTAAAAAACAAAATATCAGTCTGTAGGACATCATGTCCTGCTCGCACAATCATATTACCATATTAAGTGAACCATGAAATCTGGGTCAAAATTAACATTGTCTTGGAAAATGATTTTAAACGATCACATTATAAGTAACCATGTGTACTCGGTACAGTTGATTTGCTCGAAAGTTCGTGTTAATCACATTGACGAAAAACTTTCAAGGAATTGCTAAGCTCAAGTAAGGACTTGTGTCTTAAAGTAAGATATGCTATAGTTAAGTCTGCTGTTTACAAAAGCAAATCTTTTTTAAATGAGAGTCATTAACACAATGTGATTGTGAGCCATACATATTAATCCGACTGACCTCGCCCATTAATTTGTAAGTTTTGTATTTTTCATTGTAGCGCACGGTTCCTTCAAAAAGAGCACCACCAGGTTTAGTTTCTAACATAAGTTGATAGTCAACATAAGAATCTATCCGATTACCGAACACTACGGTTCGATTGATAACGTCCCAATCACTGCTTTTAAATGTCAGAACCTTATTCGGCAATATCAGTTTTGTAGCCAATTTTATTTCATTTAAATATAACGTTTCACACACAGACGTTTTATTCAGTTGTTGATTTAGCTCTTGTATCATTTGTCTTGCTGATTGTACTGCACGCTCTGCTTTAGGTGACAATTTTTCGTGATCTGCGCATGAGCACCAATGAGGTAGCATGTCAACATCATTACACGTTCGAGATTCCGGAATTTCATCCAGTAAGCTTGTTGATCTACTTTTATGTATTTTCTCTTTTCTGTTGCTTTTGAAATGAAGAATGTTCATTAAAGTAGCATAAATATCAAACGGAGTTGTTAATCTTCGTGAATTAGTTTCTAAATTTCGTTTTACTTTTGGATATTTTTCATAAAACCATTTTGGGAACATCAAAAACGCAAACGGTAGGCGCTCCTCTAATTTTCCAATAAAAGTTTCCCGAACCTTTCCGAATCTTATTCCATGATCACTGAAGAAGAATACCACTGTATTATTTAAAGTATTGCCTTTGTTTAACTTTTCAAAGAAATCTCTATACAAACGATCGGCCATTGCAGGGCGTTCCATCCGATCATGCGTTAGTCTTGAAATAAAAGTAAATGCAAAATACGGATCGGATTTGAATACGGTCATAAACTGTTTTAAATAATCCAAAATAAAAGCAGTTTCCGGACGTGCATGGATACAATTATTATCTGTGTTCCACGGTTCATACTCCTTTTCCATGGCGACACTTAAATGTCTATTATAGTAGTCAGCAGAAGGACGTTCAAATCCAGCTTTGTGGTAATCAAAAATGGCGATCTTTGGTGCATCTTCTGCATAAAACGTCCGGTAACCTTCACCAGAATATTTATTCCACATAAAATCATGTTTATCCAGTGGCACATCTTTAACAGTTTCGTTCCATGGTAATTCTTCTAGATATTTACCCGTTGTCATTGGGACGATATTTGGAAAAGTGTTATCAGCTAGCTTGTTGTATCCTAAAAGTTCAATTGCAGACAAATTTTGTAGAAGGTATTTACGTGTTTCAGTCATATAACGAATCATATTTATTTGTGAAACAGATTCTACTCCAAGCATCATGACGCTTAAACGTTCATTCCGATTTTTCGAATGTTTTTGATACACATTATTGCATCTCTTTTCAACTTGATCTTTTCTCTGAACAAACGCAAAAAAGTTGGTATAGATACTAGTGTCGTCTTTTTCATAACAATTCAATCTAACAAATTCATCCTCACTTCTTAGTTTGATATCGGATGTGAAAGCCTCGCTTTCATTTATGTACCGGAAAAAGTCATGAGACGTTGGTTTTTTAAATGGACGCCATATTGTCTCATATTTACAGTATGATAAATCTTTATATCTGCGTGATTCATTTACGGCCGTCCGGTTTATGATAAGTTTGTTGTCTTTTTGGTAAACAATGTCAACATCCGGGTTACATCTCAACACTGTTCCCGGTTTTAATAGTTTTTTGACTGATGGATCAAAGGGATCTACTCTTGGAATCTTGCAGGCGGAGGTATACACTAAAAAGGCATCTTCTGATCTTGATGTAAATGATAGGACAAAGTTGTTCGAAGGAAAGTTCACGCTCTGTCCAAGTATAAATATAGAGGCTGTGAAAAATAGAAGTAAAAGAATTTTCAACCAATAATTGATGGACCTGAAACGAAAATAAAATGTAAGAATGCATTGACGAAGTAAAGTGTTAATCCAAGTTCAAATGAGTAACAATTATAAAAACGACAAATATTTAAAATCATGACATCTATAGTCAAACAAAAAATAAGATTTAATTCTCAAAATTCACCCTTTTAACAGATCACGAAAATTTAAAATTTAAAGAAATAATTGGCGAATCATTTCATTTCAAATATATTTTTTATTAATCTTATATTTATATTTCATGATTTCATATAAAGAGTGATGATATTAGATTATATTATTTTAAAATATTATAATACAACAAGATAAAATTCGCAAAACCCTCATCTTTGACAAGAAAATTTTCCTAACTAGCTTAGTGCCGAATTTGTTCAACTTTAGTTACTACTCAAAACTTTAAAACCTAGTACACTCAAAGTATCATTAATAATGTCCAGTTAAATGGTCACAGACGAACAGACACTCAAACATAAGAAGCTTTTTGCACCCTCTAAAAAATCACTACCCACCCATGCAGGGGATGGATCTTAGTACAGATAAGCATAGGGCGAATAATTAAAACACAGTACTAACAGTTTCTGTGAAAGTGTTTCTTTCGACGAGTTAATTTTACATATTTTATTTAAATGATCTTACATCACTTCAAACGTGAAATGTCAATTTAAAAACATAAAATCAAAAAGATCACATGCGTTAAGGATTGTTAATGATAGAGGCAAGTAACCACAAATAATCCAAAAGGACAAGATGTGATGTATGCTTGTTCGTGGCCTTTTATAGCTTGCTGTTCGGTATGGGTTTTGCTCATTGTTGACGGCCACACGGCGACCTATAATTGCTTATACTTCTACGTCATTTGGTCTCTGGTTGAGATTTGCCTCCCTCATTGGCAATTATACCACATCTTTTTATTGTTACATGTTCTTACCTTGAATTTAGTTTGGTTCTGTTTTGTTCCATTTTCTAAGAATAAAAGAATTTTGCATTTAGAAAAGGGGGAACAAATATAAACTTTGAAACCACACTGCAGACCTTCCGCGTTATTTGAATAAAATTGGAATCAACTCAGAAAATCTTGCTACATCGTCTTTGTTTTATAAAGATACCAGGCTTATAATTTTGAATACCAGGCGCCCATTTCGTTTACAAAGAATCATCATTGACGCTCGAATCAAAAAAGTTAAAGGCCAACTAAAGTACGAAGTTGAAGAGCATTGAGGGCCAATTTCAAAAGGTTTTGCCAAATACAGCTCAGGTAATGTAAACCATGTTTAACGACAGAAAAATGAATCCTGTTGGTAGGTCCACTTGACAAATCTTTTTCAATAAGGAGTTTTACTGGCCTAAATAGGCAGATGGTGAGGGGTATGTGCACGTAAAACTAGTTTAACCCCACCACATTGTGTGCCTATACCTTGTCTGGTTATCTGGACCATGTGTAGCTTGTTGTTGTTTGTTTGATTGTTTGGGGTTGTTTTTTTTCGGATGAGTCGGGTGTTGTTGGTTGTCGTGGTCTGTCGTGGTTTGTCGTACTGTACAATATATGAATCATATCTTTCGGTAATTCGTGTGATGATTTTTATGTTTTATTCCCATAAAACTCAATAACAAAATTTTCATTAAGTCTATCATTTTCCGACAATTCTACAAGAGAACTTATCCAAATACTGCTAAAACCGCGCAAAATAGTCCTGGTTAAATGTATGAAAAATAAATTCTCCTGTAGTCGCGCATCGAGTCAGCTGATTGAAAGATTTTCCGTTTGCTATCGTATATGGAATAACAATGTTTTAATATTCCACCATTTCAAATATCAAAATTTAAAGAACCCTTAGAGTGTAAATTGTACGCCAAACAACACTTTTTCCTGCATGAATAGTGGGAGTGTTATTTTTTGGGGGTTTTTGGTCAGACCTAGCGACCTTTCCAATCGTTTTGTTCATATATCAGTTCATAGATATAAGAAGATGTGGTATGAGTGCCAATGAGATAACTGTCCATCCATGTCACAATTTGTAGAAGTAAACCATTATAGTTCAAAGTACGGCCTTCAACACGGAGCCTTCGCTCACACCGAACAGCAAGCTATAAAGGGCTCAAAAATGACTAGTGTAAAACCATTCAAACAGGTATAGTTCATACATGTACACTCATGTATTTGCAATGCATACAAAACAATTCGAAAACGGTTCCGTGGAGCCCTGTGTCTTGTCTGCGATAATTGTTGTCAGTGTAAAAGTGTAAAGTTGACTGTAAAAAGAAAGTCCAATTATCAGATAAACACAGAAAACAAATGTAATTATCCAAACGATTTCTTAATCTTGAAGATTAGCTTTTGTCCAAGTTTCATAACAATTCATGAATATTTACAAATTTATCATGCCAAGAGCGCGTTCACCTCAAAATACTACTATCGATCGTATGTCTGGTTTAAAATGGTTCTGATCAACTCAATAGTACGAATTAACGAATAGAAGTGGGTTTTCTATATTCAATAAATCTAAAGCTACCTAAATGAATAAGTCTTATTTGTTCAAACATAAAATTCAAGTGGCCTACCTGTTAAGAGAAATGTGTGGTTTTATTATTAATATCTCCGACTTATCGAAGTCCGTTATCTTTCGTATGCTAGGTAACAATAGTTGTACAAATATACTATAATAGTAACATGAAATTGTGTCGGGGATCAACAAAAAATTGCTCTTGTTTTTAGACATATCACATTTGAAGAGGCACGACCTGTAGGGTCTGACTGAGAATGAATGGATGCATATGACTGTTTAACGTCCAGTGGAAAATTAAGTGCATTTTCAGGACGAGAACATGATAATGTGATATGAGAGTAAACCCTGCTTTGTACTAGACCGACGCCTACGCTGAGTCGGATTTTTAACCTGCTGGTTCACAAGTTAAAACAGTCCACAAGAAAACATGTCATCCTACGCGGACACATTATAAAACTCCGAGCCGACCAGTCTTTGCTCTTACACTACATGTGGCGTGCTTAGCGGAGACGCAGCAAATACCGATTATCATGTCTTTGGATTGACCCTGCCAGGGTTCGCAGTGGCGGATCCAGAAATTTTTATAAGAGGAGGCCCACTGACTGCCTAAGAGGGGGCCCGCTCCAGTCACGCTTCAGTGATTCCCTATGTAATCAACCAAATTTTTCCCGCAAAAGTGGGCCCCCTGCCCCCCCCCCCCCCCTAAATCCGCCTCTGGTTTGAACCTACAACCTCACGCACTAGTCGAGGAAAACACGCTAACACGTGACCACCGAGATGGTTGGATGTGCGAGGAAAGTACGGGCTCTTAAAAAGCTATGATTATATTTTTATAAACTTGATCATGGACCAATTGTTTTGATCCCGCAAATGATAACTCTTAGCTAATGGGAGAAGGATATTCGCATTATAAAACTAAACAAACAGCAGCCCAGACAACCCAGTCATATAAATAATCGATCTATTGCAACCTAGACATAATTCGTACAGCGACCGATATTAGAGTGTAAAAAGACAAGCTTCCTACATCAGAAGATACATTACTAGTACTTTTTAACTGTCTTTCAGAAATGTGATTTAATTCAGTTTATTGTTCATAGCTTTAAAGTTCTGAACTCATTTTTAACCTGTGCTTTTATTAATAAAGGTGGGTGTACTTGATTATCCCTGTCGCATGTTCATATAAAACTTCTGAAAGTAACAAGCGAAACAAAATCTTTTCTATTAAATTATAGTCCAGAAGTTAGTCAGTGTCGTCGTTCATTTAAAAAAGTGAGGGCAATTCCCCCTCCCCCAGATCCTCAGAGTATCACATAAATCTGTTGTTGTCTTTGTCAAATGTATTTCCTCGGGGTGATATGGGCTGGACATCCGATATTAAAACTGTTGAAGACTATTACTAAGTCTTTTGATGTCTTCTTGTTTTGTTAAATTTCGTATTGACTTTACAATCTATATTTTCTCTTCTTTTATTCGTATCTTTGAATATATTTAAGAGTTGAATTATCATCTTTATTTCAACGCGACCAAACATAATCAGTATTACATGTAAAGTAGATAACCTTCCGTTGTGATAGAAACATGTTCTTTATTCAGAATAACGGAAGAAACGTGTTCTTTATTCAGAATTACTAAAGATTAGACGGGAGATCTCTAATAGAAATTGAATACATTGTAGGCATACGAAACATCTGCATATTTAGAAGTAGGTCGTGACATTAAGTCAATAAGATAAAATGATCAATCATGCTATCTCTATTATGGGGAAGTATTGTTCAAATGTAAATGCAAAATAAACATGTACAGGTCAAAGTTTATCTTAGTATTCTATCAATTTACCCTTAAACACGCCTGACCATAAATGCAAATTTGAATTTGCCTTCAATGTGTGTAAATTGTCCGTCGTCGTACTTTTACTTTTAAAGAAACATCTTTTCTTAAACCACCTGGTAAATTGAACAAAATGATGATAAATGACATAAAATAAGGAAATGTGGTATGATTGCAAATGAGACAACTATCTACCAGAGACCAAATGACGTAGCTGTTAGCAACTATAGGTCGTCGTACGGACTTCAACAATGAGCAAAACCTATATGAGTCTTTGTTTTCAGTTTTCTAATACCAATCAATAATTTCAACAATACGTATCTTAAGTCAACATTTATTCGTATATGATTAAATGAATACAATCTACAGAAAATTAAGTCCATTTTTTAGTAAGGGGACGACCATTTCATATTCTGGGAAAGGGTGAAAATTTATTTTCACATTTGTACACAATTTATTCCTGCATTTTGTTATGAAGATTATTCATTTTTATCCTGTCTTGTGCAAGGTTCTTCATTTCAGCCCTTACCGGGCCAGGATATTCATTTACAATATCCTCCTACCATACCCCTCAACAATCCCCGTAAATCAAATGTTCCCTAACTATCTCCTTCCTAATTAACGCCAAAACACATATTTGAAAGACCATATCCCCATCGAAAAAATCTAAGTAAGCTTTTGATGTCTGACGATTCCAAAATACAACTATTATAATCTAGTTTTCCTGTAGTCTGTATAGTATATATATTTTACATGCCATGCTGACAAATGGTACCATTTACCTACATACGGTCCCGTCAAATAATTACAATTACAAGTACTCTTCTTAAAAAAAATTAAAAATATCTATTTAAGTATAGATAAGATGGATAACTTGGATATTGGTTGCATGTCTTTCATGTCCGTCAGTTTAGATAAAACAGATGAAGATCATTTCTTATTTAAATGTACATACAGTGATATGGATAACTTGGATAAATTAGTTGTATGTCTTTCATGTCCGTCAGTTTTGCAGTATGCTGCTCCATTAATTAAAAAGTCATGGTCACTGAGGAGAGTGGATTCAACAACTGCATGATATGAACAGATATAAATTCATGTTTTTTTTTAAATTATTTTTGTGATGTATTATGTAATGTGTTATTTTGTTAATTTTCATGTATGCCATCAACCCCATTATGGTATAATAGTGTATTATTTTTAATAAATAAACGCCTTAGTGTTCACTTTCTTAATTAATTTATTTACAAAACATGAAAATTGCATTTTAATTTGGTATATATTTCTATTGATGGGTAAGTATGTACGTTGCACATGCAAGTTGGATACACGTAGGTGTCATTTTTTCTGAGCTCAACAGTTTACAATGTTTCCCAATTCATAACAAGTTTTTATGGTCAATTTATTAGTTACTGTACCGAACGTGCGAGACCCTAATGAGTAGTTAAAGTCGTTAGACATCCATTACTTCGCACATCATTTGGGTTTTTCAAACTTTTAGCTCACCTGGCCCAAAAGGCCAAGTGAGCTTTTCTCATCACTTGTCGTCCGTCGTCCGTCGTCGTCCGTTAACTTTTACAAAAATCTTCTCCTTTTACTTGACCAAATTTAACCAAACTTGGCCACAATCATCATTGGGGTATCTAGTTTTAAAAATGTGTCCGATAACCCCGCTCCCCAACCAAGATGGCCGACATGACTAAAAATTATTGAACATTGGGGTTAAATGCAAGTTTTTTCTATTATTTTGAAAATCGTTAATAGAGAAAATCTGACAACAGCAAAAATGTTCAGAATATTGAGCTTTATCAATTGTTCATTGATGTCAAAACTATCAGGCGACGTCTTATAGGAGTTATTTTTTTTACCAATTTTTATCATTTTGGCTTTTATCTTGAAAACCATTATAGATAGAGAGAAACTTTAAGTGGCAAAAATGATCAGGAAGACAAGCTCTACATATAAATCTTCAATTTGCATGGTTGAAAACGTCAGTCGACTTCTAATTAGAGTTATTGCCCTTTGAAGACAATATTTACCAATTTTTTGCGTTTTTGCCTTATATCTTAAAAATATAATAGATAGATAGAAACTTAAATAACCATAAATGATCAGCAAGACAAGATCTACATTTCAGACAATATGGAGAAAATTTCCCGATGACTCCTTATTGGAGTTATTGCCCTTTTGAGAAAACACTATAGAAGATAGAGAGAAACTAAACAGACAAAATGATCAGCAATACAAGATCAACAAAACAGAAATTTTTGTCATGGATTCTATTCTTGTCTACAATGTTGGAGAGTCCATTGTTGATTATGCATATAGACCTAGGTGAGCGACACAGGCTCTTTAGAGTCTCTAGTTTTATTGGAGTGTCACTGATAAGTCTTTTGTAGACGAAACGAGTGTCTGGCTTACTAAATTTTAATCCTTGTATAGTGTATCTATGATGAGTGTAATTAAATCAATTCATTACTAGTTTAGTCTCTGGCCGATTAAGAGCTTGACAATTATACACGACTGTCTATTGGTGATAAGTGTATGTTTACATTTGCATGTTTATGCCTTGTGTCTTTTTGTGTTGTTGGATTCCTGTCTCATTCACGTATATTAAGGACATGCATTTGTTTAGCCATATACAAAAAGTTGTTTTTACATTTATTATGTAAGATATATTAATCCTATCAAATCTAAAAGACTAAAAGTATATACATGTAATCTAAATTCAATTCATATTTATAAAAGTTATATATACATACAATAAACATGATAAAGGGAACACATAAGTAAAATAACTACGTATCACAGATTAATTTCGCGTATCCGTCTTTTATTTATTCTATTTTTTTTCTATTTTTATTTTCTCTTACTATAAATGAAATATATTAAAAACATTCTAAAAACTCGGAAAGTAATATGTCATTTAAAATACAAAACAATTAAAACAAACAAAAAACGTATTCTAACACGGCTGCCTAGAACGGAGTATTTTATAAAAAAAAATTGACCAAATGCTATAATAATAATTTCTTAAATTTATTGTACTTTTGTTTCTGATGCACTAAGAGGTTTGGATGTCACAGAAAAGCACTTGTTTTTATCGAAAACTACACGTCTCTTTTTAACGTCTAAGACACTTGCATATATAAGCTAAAGGGACACCATAAACACACAGAGCCTCCCAATGGGCAATCATCGGGTAAATCCGCTACTCTCCTATCCGTTTGAAGGAGGAACGGAATTGATCGAGTTTAGACGAGTGAGAGCCCTGGGGTCAATAACGAAAAACTCTGTAACAGAATCTTCCTTTTAAACGTAACAATTCACTGCAATTATTGTCACTTTAATCAAACTAATATATGGGCTGGTCCTCTCCCTTGCAACATACAGGTATCTCAGATACTTTTGTTGTCAACTTATATCTGTCAGAGCCAAACAGATAAATGACAGGGAACCAGTTTAACTTTAAACAAACTAATATACAGCAATCAATCAATCCTATCTTCCATACTTGCGCTCAAAATCTACAAAGGAACTGGACAAGTGTTAGTTTGAAACAAACTATAGTTAGAAAATATCTTTTTAAAAGGTTTCATCGTTAAATCCTGTTTTTAATTTGTAGGTGTACTATATTAAAACATTAATAATCAGATGTAGTCACGAAAACTTGAAATCTTAAATGTTAAATATGTGAGTTGGTTAATAACCAGAACCAAAAACTAAAAAACAGGGTACAAAAACGAGAAATAAAAAACAACATTCTTCAGTGATCAAGAAAATCAAACTTGGCTTTTAACTTTTTTCTTGTTTTCTTTTCTTCGGCTTCTACTGTGATTTCGGTCCCTCCAAAGGTCATCTGGACTATTATTTCTTTGTCTTTCACAGATGAACCTTGGAGAGGTACTTCGATCTTTCCTAAGTAGTTACATGTTGGTTCAGTGGTATAGCTGGGATCATCGTCAGTAGACATGTACACGGGAATCACTACTTCTTTAACGTCGCTGTTCAGAGGAAAATATGACTGGGGATTTAAAGATTCCCCAACCTTGACCGTTTGACCTACTACCACGTGTTTATCAAAGACGTCACGACATTTGTCACGTCCGTTGACTTGAAATTTCTTGTCTCGTGGGTCACCCTCGATGAAGTCTCGCGTTGTTTTGACTCCGTATGTATACTTCGCCTTCCGGGACACAATTGTAGCGGGATTGTGTCCAAACAATACTGCTCCTTTCACTACTGCCAAACCAGCATCTTCCGGAATGATAATTTTCATATGAGAAAAGTTTGTCTTGAGTGCTTCCTGTATCATTGCACATTCTGAGAAACCCCCTACCATCAAGATTGTGTCGACACCTTGACTAACAGGATTGTTTAGAATATCTTTTAAATGTTGGACGATACTATCGGAAACTTTAGAAAAAAGTTCCTTGATCATCCCATTATCCACTTTTAACTTGTCCCCGACCCAGTTCATGTGTTTGGCATATGGCGTCTGCTTAATGCTTTGTCTCAAATCTACATTATTTATCTCTTCGAAAGCTTCCGTTAAAGATATGGGCATTCGGAATGCAGTTTTACCAGAAGTATCGGGACGGATAGAACGTTTCTTTATCTCGAATTCTCGAAGTAGATCAAGTTCATCAGATTTGCTATCGCACTTGAACTTTTTGATGACCGGTTCGCCGACAATTTTAACGATCATCTGCATAAAATTTTCATCTACTTTCGTTCCTCCCCATGCCCCTCCACTTGCCTTATGAAGTTCCTTTAGGGTGTTTTTTTCCAGAACTTCCTGTACAGTAATATCCACAGTGCCACCTATAAAATATTTTGTTAATGAGGGTCAGTATTGGCGTATCTAATAATAACGTAATCACTAAAAATTTAGAGACCAAAATACATAATAAACAATTGGAATACTAAAATGTCAGTGTCATATCTAAATATGTTTTCTTATTTGGAGAATATCGTGTTGATTGCAGATCTTCGATATATAGTTTGTTTAATTTATTCTTAAAAACAGGTCTTTGTTTAGTACGGCCTTCAACTATGAACAAACCCCATACCGGATAGTCAGCAACGCCAGTTTTTAGAAGCACTGAATGCTATCATTTTCAACAAAACAATGATTACGGCATATTTACTTTTTTATTTAGAGTGGCTTATCAAAACAGCTTTGAATGTATAAATTATGTTTAAACGTAAATACGGTAGTTCTTAATGAATCTTGATATTCGCAGTAACATCTTAGGATAATTTTTCTTCTCAATAATTTTTCACATTTCTGGTTTACAAAAATTGTTGAGTTATTTTACTTGTCAAACGATTAAAGTCATACATTAAATATGTATATTAAAAATGCGTTAAAAAAGGGGCGAAAGATACCAGAGGGACATTCAAACTCATATGTCGAAAATAAACAGACAACGCCATGGCTAAAAAACAAAAGGACCAATAGTCAAACAAAAGTACACAAAACACAACATAGAAAACAAAAGACTGAGCAACACGAACCCCACCAAAATCTGGGGGTGATCTCAGGTGCTCCGGGAGGGTAAGCAGATCCTGCTCCACATGTGGCACCCGTCGTGTTGCTCATGTTATTACAAACCCGGTAATAAGTCTAATACAGTAGGTCACATTCGGGAAAAGGGTACGGGATTGTAGTTACGACATTAGGAACATATCCGTTATCATCTGTGAAACGGATATTCCATAACGGTCAACCAACTCGTGATGGCGTCCGTAAAACTTACGAACGGATGACTTCAACTTTACCACTTGGAACTCTTGGTTTAATAGCTTCCTTGTGAGCAGCAACCCTCTATCAAGGAAATCATGATAGGAAATACAAGCCCTCAGCCTGGTATATCGTATCAACTGGGAGATATACACTCCGTATGCAGGCGCTGCTGGAATGTTGCTACATAGAAATGGAAAGTTCACAATTGGGAAGCTGAAAGTTAAGATACTATAACACTTTCTCCATTTTATTTCACTGTTCCTTGAATCTAACTTACCGCCTAGATCAGCAACCATATATTTTGAACCAGGTCTGAATACTCCCAAATTACCACCACCACCGGAAATGAACTTTTCAACCGGAAGTATTCTACAATACATGGCTGCGGCCTCTGGTTCCAAGGAAATCATCAAATGGGTGTCTTTTATTCCAGCCTTTAATATTTCGAAAAATAAAGAACAGCATTTCAAAAGAATACAACCGTAAATGGTGCAGTCATGTATATTGTAAAAATGGTGTTTAGACCCTAAACACAATTCTAAACACATCTTGTGTGCTTTTTTTTTCTTCTCTTTTTTGTCGAAACACATATGTTTATGATTGTGTTTATAGTCGTGTTTAGTTTGAAAATTAGTGTTTTACCCCTACCCACTTTAATTCTAAAACAAATTTAAAAGTGTTTTTATTCAAGACATTTGTACATTTAATGTGCTTACTGAGGAATATATGGCTCCATTGAAAACAAAAAATATAAAAACATGAAACACCGTTAAGCGTGCTTCCTCTAGTTTCATTAACAAATTTCATAGATATTGTAGGACTCGCAATCAAAAAGTGTCAAAAATTTAGAAGACAAAATACATATTTGATGGGCACAAAGTAGAAATAAGCGGGCTTCAACAGAAGAGCTCAACATAAGTCTATGTCAGATATTTTATCATATTCAGATCGAGAAAAAATAAAACATTAATGCAATAATTCAATTTGATAAAGAATATCAACTGGGATGAAGGGCCTAAACTGCCACTGAAAAATGTTGTTGGATAGAGACACAAATTTTGCGATGCAACAGAACACTTATGAAAGCCGCAAAGAGTTGTCGTAACTTAAGAGAGCATTCCAATCGGGCATGACTGCGTATCTATACATCCAGGAACGCCAGAGGGACATCCAGTTTTAACAACGGTCTTCACCGCCAAACGAGGGAGGTCTGAAGTATGTTATTATACTTCTTAAAACATGTCAATCCTTGGGGTAAAGTGTATTCTTCAGAAGGGTATGGTCCTTGAAAAGTTGGTAACCTTCAATTGAACTTTATCGAATAAGTATCGTGTCAAATCGTCGATGAATAAGTTGTCTTTTTGTTCAGTTAAAAAACGCTAAGCCTTATAATGATTGTTTTCGGTTATGTGGATTAGCAGCAATAGAAACACATTTTACCTGTCAACACACAATGTCATGTGTAACAAAATGTAAAACAGTTCAAATGCTTCAGATAAAAAAATGGTTTCTCTTTGAAGATATATCTGTTCATTTTTTTTTACTCGGCTATCTCATGAGCTTTTAACCTATGATGCCGCTTACCTCATGAATTATTCACATGTACTTCTGATGCCGCCAACTTCATGAACCATTTACATGATCATTTGATGCCGCCTAACTCATTCTCTATTTACATGTACCTATGATGTCACTGTCTCGTGAAATATGTACATGAATATATAATGCACCTGCCTCATGATTAATTTACATGTTCATATGAAGCTGCCTACCACATGAACTATTTACATATACCTATTATGCCGCCTACCTCGTGAATTATTCACATGTACCTGTGATGCCGCCTACCTCGTGAACTATTTAAATGTATCTATGATGCCGCCTACCACATGAACTATTTACATATACCTATTATGCCGCCTACCTCGTGAATTATTCACATGTACCTGTGATGCCGCCTACCTCGTGAACTATTTAAATGTATCTATGATGCCGCCTACCACATGAACTATTTACATATACCTATTATGCCGCCTACCTCGTGAATTATTCACATGTACCTGTGATGCCACCTACCTCGTGAACTATTTAAATGTATCTATGAAGCCGCCTACCACATGAACTATTAACATATACCTATTATGCCGCCTACCTCGTGAACTTTTCACAGGCACCTATGATGCCGCCTACCTCGAGAACTATTTAAATGTATCTATGATACCGACTACCTCGTGAACTTTTCACAGGCACCTATGATGCCGCCTACCTCGTGAACTTTTCACAGGCACCTATGATGCCGCCTACCTCGAGAACTTTACATGTACCTACGATGTTGCCTAACTCGAGAACTTTACATGTACCTACGATGTTGCCTAACTCGTGAACTTTTTTACATGACTGTAGCATGTTCCTATGACACCACATACACCATACCTCATGAACTATTTACATGTACCGTTGATTTTGTCTACCTCTTGTTCTAATTACATGTACATAAGATGCCACTGATCTGGCTTTTGAAGCCTCATGAACTATATATTTACCTGTGAAGCCGCTTCTCGCATGAATTGTTTGGCACTATCATTCCAGATCGCTGGTACAGTGAGAACCCAATGAATATCACTTTCACTAAGACCCGTGTGACTGGACTCAAGATGTTTAACAAGGTGGTCCTTTAAAAAACGTATCCCGTGACTAAAGATTATTTGGGCTGGCATCTTCTTCCTCCCTGAATCATCTGGTATCTCAGTGTGTCTTGACAAAGTCTGCAAAATTAATTATAATTAAGAATTGAATGCTTCTTTTTTTTGTAATTTTATTAGGGTGTAAAAGCGTTGACCGAAGCACATTTTGTATGAAGCGCGGCGGTCAATACTAAAAATGTGCGCATGTTCAACGCTTTTACAACCCTTTGAAATTACAAAAAGAAGCATTCAATCCATTTCATTACATTTTTATGCTGAAAGCACGAAATTGCGAGTTAAATGAAGTCTTTTGTTTGTTTTTCTATTCATTGTTTTAATATTGTCAAGGATAGCACAAGACATGCAGTAATATATGCTGTATTTTACACAGAAAGTTTAACTTTTGGAATGCCTGAGCAAATCAAAATTACGGAATAGTTTGAAACTTCGACATATGTAGAGTTATCTAGAATTTGTTGACCTTAAACAGTTTTAAGGTAAATGTAAGGGTCTGTCTTTTCCCGACCTAAGGCTATTGATTGCCCCCCTTTTTTCGTCCCTGCAGAGTGGCGTTAGTTGACCTTTTTGATCATACAGCTCCTAACGTTTCTGTGTATTAACGAATCACTACATGGCTTTAAAATGTTTGGGTTTCAGCGTTCCTAATGAAGATAACGATGCAATCTTTTTGTTGTATCCATATGGCAACATTTTGCATTTATTTGCTATAAAATATTGCAAACTGGGCACAGGCACTTGTCTCAGAAAAAAAATTTCCTATATACCTTAATATAACGTTATATTAAGGTATATAGGAAGTTTATTTCTGAGACAAGTGCCTGTGAAAATGGGGTGCAAAAACGTCACATATTTCCCCAAAATTTGGCCAAAAGTAGAAGAATCTTAATCCCTTGAAGTGCTACTTTTTCTGAAATTATTTACATGATTGTATCTATAAAGAAATCAAGTAAACATCATATGCCTTTCGTCTCAATTTTTTTGTAAAAATGAGTAAACAAAATCTTGTAAAAAATCAAGCGTTTTTAAATACAAGGATTTGTATAGAAATACTATACAAATCCTTGGTAAATATTACAATAATTCCTGGACCTATGGCCAATCTACATATGAAAATGCGGACTGACAAACAAAAAGTAGCCCCTAAAAACATCTTAATACCATCTTAATGCTCTTTGCTCTTATAACATGTACATGATGTATAAACCCACTTTGAATGCTTAATTATTCATCAGCTGTTTAAAAATGAATTGTATTGCACTATAACTTTTATATTTGAAAAATCCATCGGCGCCAAAATGTGAAACAACACTCCCGTGTATTGCTACCTCACACCGAAGGGATCCGAGCGAGGTAAGTCACGGCGGGTTCGATCCTTAGAATGGTCGGACCGAAGACTTCGTATATAAAATTTGCCTCAGTGTAGAACGAAGTAGCTATTATATGAAATAATGATCTCAATTACACGAAAGTGTCCAGATTATATTTGTAATACTATTCACTGAATATTATGCCGTCACCAAAGAATCAACGCATGAACATTTGCAATCACTTGAATTTGTCATTAAATATTATTTATCTAATTCCACTTCCATCTTTAGTTTTGTTTACGTCTTTAAAAGAAAGATACCCACCGTATAAAAAAATACTTAAAAAACAATAAAAAAAAAAAATACCTTTCATCTGGTTGTTATATTGAATTAAAAGATTCTCTACAATATTTTATGTTTTAAGTAAAAAATAACAACTCACAGTATTATTAAACAGGGACATTTTAAATCTCTTGAAGAAGTACCAGTCTTCGTGTTCTTCCTCCAAAGCTAGCTCCGCATACTTCTCCTCAGCTTCGTATCCGAAAGAGTGAAATGATTTATTAGGTTGTAACAGGATGCATGTTGGTGTTTTTAATGATATTAAATTTTTCTGTCCAGCTACCCATGTCGAGTTGGTAACTATCTTATTGGGATCGGTTTCAAACCAGGACTTGAAAGAAAAAGCGTACCCGGAAAACGTAGTTCCAAAGTCAATGGCTGCCACCAAAATCTTGTCTGATTTATAACTGACGGAAAAGTCACTATCGTTGTTCGAGTCTTTTGGGTCATATTCTTGACAGTAGGCCATGCCTGGTTATGTATTCAAGGAGTTTTCAACTATCTGTTCTTGTCTAAAAAAAAGTAGGTAATGCATAATAAAAAAAAATGAATTCATCACGTGACTGACTTGACATCATGGAATAGAATTATAATTTGATTTAATAGTGTAGCATAAAATAGACCGAAATCTTGATTATAGTGACTTTACATTGTATTTGAAAGATTACCATATACAAACTCTGCGATCCAAGTTGTATGGTTTTATATTGTTTGAATGGTTTTACACCAGTTATTTTGGGGGCCCCTTATGGCTTGCTGTTCGGTGTGAGCCAAGGCTCCGTGTTGAAGTCCGTACTTTGACCTATTATGGTTTACTTTTACAAATTGTGGCTTAGATGGAGAGTTGTCTCATTGGCACTTATACCACATTTTCTTATATATATAGATATATATATATAAAAAAGGAGACAAAGAATTATACAAAATTCAGATTGCACATTATGTAAGTCAGTATACAATAAGATGTGGTATGCATGATTGCCAATGAGACAACTACACGATTCCACTAGAGACCAAATGGCATAGACATGATAGATGTTAGCAAAGGTAGGTCACCGTGCGGCCCTCAAAAAGACCAAAGCATACCTCAAATCAACCTGCAACAGGTTCCTACATGAAAAATGTAAAAAAAAAAAAGAGAAGGTAATGGTAATTTGTCTTCTCTTTCTTCTCTTTATACATGTAAGCATTTTGCCATTTTGCCCATTTTTCTCTGTTCCTTATATTTGAGCACCCCATATTCTCTGTTCTGTCATGTCTATGTTTTTTTTTTTATTATTCTTTCTATTCTTTATTTTTTGGGCCCTTTATTCTAGACTTTTCGCCTATTATTCTGCATTCGGTAAACCCCATTCAAACCTTCACACAAGAATGAAAGAGAATGCCAAAGATACTTATTTTCAGAATATATCACCTCAATTAAAATCTATACTTGCTGGCTACTCTTGGAACAACAGCGGTCACATTCAATCCTAATGTAATTGTGTGTATTAACATCCGAAATATCATTGTCTATAAACTAATACCAGACGCGGATTAAGAGGGTTCGGTAGCCCCTCCCCTTTATGGAGCGTCATTTATGATTTATCCAGACTTTTTACCTAGGCCCACAGGCCCACTTCAACATCTTGGATCCGCATCTGAATACCTACATGACCTAGTACACATTGAGCTTGAAAGTAAATAAATTTGCCTTATATGCATGCAGGATTTATTAATTTGGTGTATTGTTATTTGTTTGACGTCCAGTGGCAAATATTTAATGTTGTTTGTTCAAAGTCCAGTGGAAAACATTTCGAGAATATTCAGGCCGGCCAAGAACATATTTATTCTTGGCAATTCTACTACATCTTCTTCGTCTTATATTAACATTTATCCAATACGTGCAATAGGTAGGTTCATAAAAGTAGCAAAAGATCGAATGGGATAAAAACAACCTCTATATCAAAACGGCATTTTGATTTGGACATTTTTTTTTAACGTGCAACAGGTCAATATAAAAATAAGAAGATGTGGTATGATTGCCAAGGAGACAATTCTCCACAAGAAACAAAATGACACAGAAATTAACAACTATAGGTCATCGTACGGCCTACAACAATGAACAAAGCCTATACCGCAAGTTCGTTTTATGTTCATGATATAATAATTGTTGTTGTAAAGCCTCTTCAGCGTAAGGAGGGCGTTCCATCAACCTGAAGTATTCGATGTAATCAAAACAGAATCAATGTTATTATTACTAATAAATAGTACACATTTAAGTCATGTATTCAAAGATCTTCAATACCTACAAAATATGTAGATGTTAAAATGATATCCTTAAATATTTTTTTTAATCACATGATCAATAAGTTTATATTGTCACCCCTCCACAGAAAATTAAATTGTTGTTCCTCTGGAATCTTGTGGGTATTTTTTTTTAGAACTTTCAAATCATGACCTATTTCACTCATTAACACCGATCAATTCTTGGAAGAATGTTCAATTTTTTGTAAACTAAATAGTAAATTCGTCAGTTTGTGTTATATTTTGTTCGTTTTATTCATTAAAGATACAGTCTTTAATTAAATTGTTCAATTCAAACTTATTTACTTAGTAAAAGGATTTAAACGCTGCAAATCTAAATAATGAAAATAGATAAATATAAACACAAGACGAGTTCGTACATTAATGTACATGTTGTATGTATATTCTACTTCCTCATTCAATGCAACATAATCTAAAATCATATTAAAGTTAAATACGTGCAAACCTTTAAGCTTCTATATGCATCTAAGTCTCCCAATTCCAATGCGATGTTCCTTTTGTTTAACTAATGCGTAACTACAGTATGTTGTGTCTCAATGAAAATAGAGAAATATTGAGTGCTAATTTTTGACATTGCTTAACAACACGAGTTATCGTTCTTGTAACAGGTTCGAGACAACTGGAGTACATAAGTTTGTTCGAGAGGGAAAATTTAAACAGTGTAAATGATTACTGGACTAACACATGAAACGGTCATGAAAATAAAGCAATTGTTATGTTAGTCTTTCAGTTAATTTTCTGACTTATTGCTTGCAGTCAATAAATAAAAACATCATAGAAGATACCAGGATTAAAATTGTGTACGCCAGACGCGTGTTTCGTCTACAAAGTGACGCTCGAATCAAAAAGTTAAAAAGGCCACATACAGTACGAATTAAGTTGAAGAACATTGTTGACCTAAAAATTCCAAAACTGAGGTTTTGCCAAATACGACTTAGACAGATATAAGATCATACAAGAATATGTGGTATGAGTGCCAATGAGACAACTCTCCATCAAAGTCACACTTTGTAAAAGTAAACCAATATAGGTCAAACAACGGCCAAGATAATCTATTCCTGTGGTAGAAAATCCTTAGAATTTAGAGAAAAAAAGTTTTGTAAACGGTCAAAGCCCCCCCTTTTTTGTTGAAAATATTTGGTTGATTACTTAGGGAATCACTGAAGCGGACCCCCTCTTATGGTAGTCTGTGCCCATCCCCCTTTTATGAAAATTTATGGATCCGGTTGATTTAAGATTATGACTATATCAATGATAGTTCATGCAACACTGAAGTACTGACTTGTGGGCTGGTTATACCCTCAGAGAGGATGCTATTTCCAGTTACTTTTTTTTTGAAAGAAATAACAACATATTAAATTATCTGAAAAGCTACTTGACAGTTCTAGATTTACTTCAAGCAAAACATATGACCAGTACTTAAACTTAAACTTAACAATTATAGTTTCAGACTTTTCAGATCTGCTGTTAAAAACAAAAAATAAAAACTGTTTGAAAAATTTATATACAAACACTTAGTTTAGTCTATGTGTAACGGATTTGTTGCTATTTCGCGTTTATTCTAAAAAAAAAACACATATTGCCTACTCTTATTACTTTGTCAAATGCATAGCTTTCCCAAACTAAAGTGTACGCAAAATGTTTTAACCAACTCGAACATGCAGTGTCGCTTTTGTCCAGCCCATAGAGATTGTATTAGGTAGGTATGGAGGTGGTCCAATAAGCTCCGATATAAGGGTCATTATAAAAAAAAAACATGCATATTTCGATGAGGGAAAATTTGGAAAAATGATGCCATTGTTTTAAAAATTTAAATATGTCCTCCTATTTTATAATATGGTAGCAACTATATTCAGAAATATGCAATGGGAAAAAAATGCAGTGTTCCTTCAATTTGAACAATTTTAGGTCATCTTCAATTTTGATAGAATCATGTCAATGGTGTTACTAATATAAAAACATGCATTTAGTTATTAACAATATTGTTAAATACCAAACAACTGATCCAATTCGTTGTTAAGATTTAAATTACTACTTATTGACATTATTTTTATAGGTTTGCATTCTATTTAAACATAAATGTCAGAATAAATTGTTGTAAAAAACATGGCTGTCCTAATTATGGTCGTTGTTAACATTAGAAAATACACTTAAACTGAATATATGTAAAATGTGTAAGACTGAATGATTAGATAATGCCTAATCCTTCGTATACGGCCTAAAAACACTTTCGTTTGTTAATATAAAAATGAAATTTAATGCATTTTTATATAGTAACACCACTGACCCTTCAGTAACTACAATGACACAAAAGTATCACCATTGACAACACATTTCAAATTTTATTTTTATTAAGTACTACTGAACACAAAAAAAGAACACTAAGCAAAAGAAAAAGAAAAAAAATAATTCTTAAGCTAAAAAATCCCAAATTATATAACATAACATATCACTAACTAAAAATGTCAATAGTGTCACTAAGTTATGTCATTGGTGTTACCAGCATACACCAGTTTGTGAAATCTTTGTATAGGTAATACATTATATTGCTAAAACATTGTTAAATAAGAATTATATTTCATAAACAATATGATGTTACGCTTGTTAAACATGAAAGAAACACAAAAAAATGCTGATCGTCATGATATATTCAGTGGTGTAACTTTATTAAAGTGGTCTCACCATTGACAGTAACACCAATGATTTACAGGTGTATTTTTAGATTAAGTTGCAAAACAAGTACTCCATTCCCCTATTTTATATGTTGTCCCTGGTGCATGATTCTACAATCAATATCTTTTCTTAATCAAAATTTAGGAAATCTTTCGGAAAATGATTTTTATATGGGTACACCATGGACACTATTTTCATTTACGATATAGCTTTTACTTACTTTTAAGATTTTTTCACTAATTTTTATAATAAAACCAACATACACCTCCCAAATCATTAAAAAAGGTTTGTATGTATCAAAATGAAATAAATAGTGATAAATCCTATTAACAAATGATTTGAATAAAAGGTCTGAAAGGTATTATAGCCAGACATAACAGTTCATTCTGGCTATATCCAAGGGTTTCAGAAAACATTAACAAGGATGTTTTTATAACATTTCATACTGTAAACTGTATATAGTGTATCACAAAACATTCATATCTAACATATACATTGTACAAGTGTTATTTTGATATATTTTCATGTCTGTGACTTAAAAAGACCAAATAACATATATTTGCATGTTTTTTTGATAATGACCCTTAAAGGATGCAAAATTATGCATTAAATGTAGAAAAAACTTTATTCCAAAGCAACATCTTAACCTTTAAAAAAATAAAACCTTCAGTCAAGAATAGATCTGTATTGTACACATTATTTATTAGTCAGTGTAGTATCATTGGAGAATGTATAGACAAGATGGAACTGTATAATCTCTTTTTAATAAAGACCTCCGAACACTAAGGGGACGACCATTTGATATTCTGGTGGGGGCCAGGAGGATTTGTTTTGGATCAGTTATTTATTTTTGTGAACTAGAAGAAGAGATTATCTATTTTCTACACTGATGAAGCATGGTTTTTCATTTTCATTAAAACAAGGGACTGATTATTTATTTTCACAATTATATTTATAATATTTGAAAACACACAATTTTAAATTTTTGTTTTATTCCTAAATAGATAATAAGTGTATAGTCAAATCATTATGTACCATTTAAAGTGGGGCTGTAACTAAGCCTCTTTTTAAAGTAATGCCAAACATATTTGCCGAGCGGAGCGAGGCCAAAAAAATTGGCGAAGGTTTTGGGAGCCGCTGAAGGCCACAAGAAGACAATATGTTGGTCTCAAAGCAAAATATATAGATTCAGTGTAAGATTTTTTGTTTTTAGGGACAACATCAAAAGACCAATATGTAGGATAAAGCAACAAGTGTAATTCAGAAACTTAAGTATGTGGCTGCTTTTTTTTGTTTTTTTTTTTAATGTTTTGGCTTGCATAAAATCTTTTTTATATACCTGTCAATTATGTGTTTTTGTTCTCAAATTAAGTTAAGAGGGGTTGATTATCATTGATATAACTATGTCAGGTAAGTTTTTATAACACATTTCAATTACAACTTGATCTTTTTCCTAACTGAGATACAATTTGAAATTCATGTAGTTTGTAAAATTAGATAAAAAGTCCTTAAATAAAATTAAACTCAAGTTTAAAAAAATTACTAAATTACAAATGGAATGCAACACTAAGAGAATAAAGAAGGGCAATCAATGAACAACAGACAAACCCTGGAACCGATAAAACACAAAACGGCAAACATTATAGACAAATAACACTGAAAACTAAAATTAAATGTGAAACATGGATCACGAAAAACAGGGGCTGTATGCCAGAGGGTGAACAGAACTTGCTTCTTGCAAGGCATTCGAAGTAAAAACAATTTGATATGAAGACAAGCTTTTGTTTTTGAAATTTCCTACCTGAGGCATTTGCCTCAATTTAGTTACAGCCCTATGACTTATGAAAGTGAGGTAAATGTTCCTGAGTTAATATACCTCTACTTAAATGAAACCCATTTTCAGATATTTCAAGTACATTAATATTTATACATTGCATTATAAAAGATTTGGAAAGAATTTTCCGAAAAAAATATGAAAAAAGACGAATTTTGTAGGAATCTGGTGCCATTTCATACTTTTGAATAGCATTTATAAAATGGCTTAAAAGACCTGCCGAGTTATTTATTTTCAATACATTGTAGGTCAGGTTATTTATGTTCAAACTACCACAGAACAAACCATTCATTTTTGTTATTATCAAGGCTGAGTTATTTATTTTCAAAATCCTCCTGCCCCCCCCCCCCCCCCCCCCAGAATATCAAATGGTCGTCCCCTAAAAAGTCATCAAGGATACCATTTATAATAGCTATTCGCTTTCCCGGTTTCAGTATTTTCAACAGAGGTACCCAACCCACAATCAATTCAAACTTTAATAAAGGAATAAGTTGACGAGGATTCAAAGTGATTGCTATAAGTAATATTACATTTTCTTACTACAATCGATATGGTGTATTTTTATCACCTGGAATAAATGTCAAGAAGATGAGAATCCAGAATTTTGAAAAGGGGGGGGGGGGGGGGGGGGGGGAACTAGGCAACGTTTAGAGTATAATATGTCAAAAGTCTATGCATGAAAATGATAAAAAATTTTGTGATGAATAAATGTATAGAGAGCCACGTCAATACAAAAATAAGAAGACGTGGTATGATTACCAATAATACAACTCTCAACCACGGACCAAATCACGAAGAACGATTAAAAAAAGACGAACATAAAAATCACAAATGCATGATTTCCGACTTAACTCTTTGCTACTATTTCCGTGAATATCCGTCCATTCAATCCATGCATTGTGTTAATTTTTTATTCATATACTACCTTGACCCCCTTTTTCTGTACACACCTGCAATTGAATTCTTTCAAGAAAAAAAACACATTTTAAGTATTAAATTAGAATTTTAATATACTGAAATATACTTTAAATTTGTGACATTCTCTTTTGTATACAACACAAAAGCAAACATTCGTTGGCCATTGATAATCGTTATTACAATCAGCTACGTTCACCTGATAATAAATTTAAAAATAACCCTTTCAGACGAAACATTGATTTTCTTAAAGTGTACGACATCGTCTAATTTACTTCCTTATTTATAATGGAGAAGTTCTGGAATTCTTTCAGAAGAAGAAAGAAAAATAAGCATAAAGATGATAATAATTACAGACCAGAGACCGCAGGGTTTGTATATGCACTTATAGTAGTTGAAATTATTGACAAATGCATTTTGTTTACTTTCGGTTTTGTGAACCTGTAGCATTGTTGTTAATTACTGAAAAAGCATTAAATTATACAAAAATGAAAAGGATCATATATGGACCTTTCAATAATAAACTTATGACACAGAGATGTATGTATCCGCTATCCAAAAGCTTCAAATTCAATATACCATGACTGTATGAGAGTACAGGACCAACTAATCTCCGTAGAAATGAGATATCCTAATGCTCATACAACTGCATACCAAATATCATTGACTTTTTATCATAAGTCTTTCCCTTTAAATTGACATACATGTAAACCGCTATTCAAAGGTTTTAAATCCAATATACCATGACTGAGAGGACAGAAAATCATTGATGCCACAACATTAATGGGTCAAATGCCCTTCACATATATACCCAATTTTCTTATTTAATGCATCAATAATGAATAAATAAACTGGGAATGTGGCCTATATAGATAAAGAAATCCAAAGGACGATAACTGTGTTCTCAATACCAGACGAAAGGGATTATAAGACATAAAAAGATCTGTATTTGACATGTTTGATATTCAATTATTGAAATTATAATGTGTCATTATTTCAAATTAATGTTATTATCAATTTGAACTTTATACGAGTTTCATTCATAAGTTTTCTTTAATTGTTGTTCTACCCTGTAGGTTTTTTGTCAATTCCGTAATTGTTCCTGCAATATTAGAGAGATCATTTGTACTAGCTATTTACCTTAGAAGGGACCTACATTTTTATTGAAAATGAAGAGCTAGCGGAAAGCACAAATTTATATACATGTATGTGCGTAAAGTGTGTAATCTGTAAGATACTATAACTGCCCTTGAATTTTTACTAGATAACATTTTTGTTCGCTATGGAGATTCCGTATATCGTCAGGTTATCGGAATTCCCATGGGGACTAACTGTGCGCCACTTATTGCGGACCTGTTTCTGTATTGTTATGAGTTACAATTTATGACTAAAATCTGTAAAGACCCATCGAAACAACATCTGATTCAAAAATTTAATAACACTTTTAGATATTTAGATGATATATTGGCTCTCAAAAATGACGACTTCAGTATGTATACTAAAGATATTTATCCTGCCGAACTGACTTTAAATAAAGCTATTACTAACAATGAACACTGGAAACTTAATACCAAAATTTATGATAAAAGAGATGATTTTTCATTTCCTATAATAATTGTTAATTATCCATTTTTAGATGGTGACGTTCCCTTGTCGCCATCTTATGGTGTTTATATATCTCAACTTGTTCGATTCGCTCGTGTATGTAACAACGTATTTGATTTCAACGAAAGAAATCTCTGTATTACTGAAAAATTATTACACCAGGGTTTTCGATATCACAAACTAGTCAAAACATTTACTAAATTTTATCATCGGTGCAAGGATATCATTCGTAAATATAAATCAACATGCAGACATCTTATACGTTCAGGTATTTCACATCCAATATTTTATGTTAATATTCTTTACAAAGCACAAAAATGTCGGCATTCACCTCAAAAGCTAACCAAACCTTTAAACAGACTTATTCGGAAAGAATATAGTTACGATACTGTTGTCAAGTCATTAAGGATTGCATATTTTGGTATATATTGATTCACTCATAGGGTCTTTGCATCGGAAATAAACACATTTATTCTAAAACCAGTTGTTGGCATTATACGGGTTATGTTCTTCTCATATATTGTATGATGGTATGATACTAAACCCCTAATGGGAGGGATTGTACTTGATTTTCATATGATGAAGACATAATCTTTCAATCAGTTTAATTGAGGTTTGGAACTGGCATGTCAGTAACTGCTAGTAGTCCTTTGTTCATTTATGTATCATTGTCATTTTGCTTAGTTTCTTTTGTTACCTATTCTGACATCGGACTCGGACTTCTTTTAAACTGAGTTTTACTGTGCGTATTGCTATGTGTTTCGTTTTTCTTCATTGACTAGAGGTATAGGGGGAGGGTTGAGATCTCACAAAACATGTTTAACCCCGCCGGATCTTTGCGCCTGTCCCAAGTCAGGAGCCTCTGTCCTTTGTTAGTCTTGTATGTTTTTTAATTTTAGTTCATTTATATGTTTTGGATTTTAGTGTGACGTCCATTTTCACTGAACTAGCACACAATTTTATTTAGGGCCAGCTGAGGACCACCTCCGGGTGCGGGATTTTCTCGCTGCATTGAAGACCCATTGGTGGCCTTCGGCTGTTGTCTGCTCATTGGTCGGGTTGTTGTCTCTTTGACATACTCCCTATTTCCATTCTCAATTTTTTTTATCAAATTTTAAGATTATATATAATCTTTTTTTAAACTAAAACCTTTTGATATCAATAAAAATTGGTTAAAACACCGATATATCACCTTCAACTTAGCATTTTTTGCATGTGCAGCAATATAATTTGTTCGTTTTAAAACCAGTCTACAATCATGACAATAAAAAAAATATTGACTCTGAAAAATCTAAAACTAAAAGTCTGATATAAATGATAAATTACAGCAATTATTATTATTAATACATTACTCAAACTGAATATCAACTTATTAAGATAACTCGGTGATGATATAAATTTTAAAGACTCCAGAAGATTTTGAGCTTGACATAGTGCATAAACACCTTAAGATTTGTTCCGAACGGACGGATTTTTCTTCATGTCCTACAATGAATTAGTATTACGATTGGATATCTTAACTTAAACTTGTAGCTTTATGCATACAGGCCCTGTCTTTTGTTGACGTCGGAGTGTGATCCTGTAGATATATATTTTGGTTATTTTTGTCTTATTGACGTTATAACACGAAGGCCTGGATATCGGAGCTTCAATTTCTTTATTCTTTAACCTTTTTTTCTCTATTCTTCATTTATTTCGCCCATTATTCTATATTCCTTACATTTTAACTCCCCATTGTCCTCTATTCTTTATTTTTTCCCTATTCTCTATTCTTTATTTAATACGGCCTTTATTCTGCAATTTTTTCCCATTATCCTCTGTTATGTATTTCCCGTCCAGACCCTCTTACACACCCTTTTATTCATATGTATTATGTTTTTACATTTCATTAAATATACAAACAGCGCATTACAAATAGTATAAGCTTTGTAATAAAAATGGTTATGTGTCCCCAACGGTTTACTGGACGCTAGTCGGTGAAATAGAAATAAGTACAGAGCCACTTTTCCATGATGATGTCTGAGTTGACCCAGGGCCACAACCTTTTGAAATCGAAGCAAGTAATCTACCACGAGGCCCCTGGGGCTATCACTTTTATACAGTAAAACTTCGTGATTTCTTTTTATGATAAATAGTCTATTTGTCAATAACCGATTTTATTCTGTTATTACACACTTTTAGCACAGTTTCTTATATCCTATATTTATATTGGCATCGTCTCAAAAAAGTTCGAAAGTCCGGCATTGCTGATCAATTATTTTCATAAGAGTTATGTCCCTTTGAAATGTTATTTATAAAATTGAAAATGGAAATGTATGTAAGCAATCTCACACCTACATGTCTTTTCCAAGTTTTATGAAATTTATATCAAAATTTTATGCCAATAATTTTTTTTTTTGGAAGAGTGCCGAACAATTATATTTACATGAATTTTGCCACTTGGAAATTATATGAAATGTATGATATTTATGAAAAAGTTCAAAATGAAAAAAGACAAATTTTTTTTGACTATACATTTGTGCAACCACGAGGGACATTGGAACGCTGTTCTTTTATTTCTGACTTCTGATTTTTTATAGTAGCAAGATTTTATAAGCCTATAATGCATGTTAAACAAATGCGTTCGAACAAGAGACTAATGTAAAGTTCCTATATAGATTGCTTGCTATCGAAGCTCAACATTTATGTCAGTGAATAACGGCCATACTCGATCCAGGAAAGCAGTTTTTAGCTAACGTTGTTTTTTATTTTCCAGTCGAACCTTTCAATGAATGTTCGACAATTGCATAAATTATCACCAAACCTGTTCCGTGATTATGTTCCGTTTTGCAAAACATACGCTATCGCCATGCAAAAAATTATGCGCATACCCCATGGAATTGATGACAGACCAGACATCATCCAATCAAAGTGGTGTTGCATATCATATTTCGTTATAATACAAAATAGTTTCTGCTTATACCGAGTACTTGCTGCTTATACCAAATATTTGCTGCTTTTCAGTAGTGTTTCCACTGAAGTTCGAGTTGTTGTGACAGGGGCAGAAGCTCAATCGAGAATCAATTCGCTGAAGGCATGTGCAAAGAAACTTGAAAAGAAATTAAAGAAAGAGGGGTCAGGGAAAAGAAGTCCTGTCAATGATTATAGAGATGAGTACAGCAGTTTACGTGAACAAATGGAACAAGTTAAACAGGTAAAAGATACTATCTTCTGTAAGCATCCATTGTGTATAAGTGATCACGTGATTACAAAAGTAAATGTCGATTAACTTCGGATTTTCTCGGCAAACTTGGAAAAAAACCTCCATATTAGTAGTAACGATCTGAAAATTGAAAATTTCTATCATAAGAAGCCAAAATGTTTAACCTACATTCAAGAAAAAATCGCCGAATTTTTCAAAACTAATATGTAAGAATTGGCACTTTGACTGAAATAGTGAGAATTAAGGAACAACAAATTTCGCCTTCATTGGGGACATTGGGATCTTCAAACTTGTTACAGAGCTTGCACACTTCTCCTTAAAGTTGGCTCCTGATAGTATAGTGCGATACTGACGTTGCGCACGATGTTGGTACCAATTCCATTTTGCTATAGATTAGCATAAAAATAAATACGTAGACTGGTCAGTTCGATAAAAATATAGTGATTTCTGATTGAATTCATTCCATTAGACTTGAAATTAAAGTAAAAAAGGAACCGAAATTCAAAATACCAGGAATTATAACACTTAATTATCCCATTTTTACGCAAAAACGTAATGTCCAACGTTTCATTTTGTGTGCAAAAGATCAAAGTTCCGTTTCTCTCCTACGGTATTTTTTCTCTGACCATTGTAAAACTTCACAATAATATTGCTATTGTTATAATTATTCGCGTGTTAAAGCAAAATCATTATCACTGAAACCGTAATCCGGAAAATGTTATTTTTGTAAACGGTCTGAAAAATGTCCAACCGTATGCAAAGTAAGTATATTTCGGGTTTGCGCATTTATACCGTGAAATTGAAAAAGCTGAGAGAAAAAATATTTATTATATTTGAAAGTTTTTTTTACTTTTCTCCTGGTTCATGATATTTTTTTGCCGGAAACCATGCGTATAGTTTCTATTGCAATGACTTCAAAAAGTATAGCTATCTTGTCCCAACGAAAAAAACGCTGTATTTTCTTTAAAATTGAGGTTTTAACCAGCTGTCTATCAAATAAGCATAGTTAGATCATAAAAAATAAAACTTGGCGGTAAAGGTTTTTCTGTTTTTCTTCTTAAACAATATAGTGTTTAATATTTTTACGTTAGGCAACAAGGTTTTTAGATCGTTTCAAAAAGTATAGCCGTTTTGTCCCAACGTTCGCAAAACGTAATTGATGTCATGCTCTGGTTTTTAATTTTATATCGTAATTATTTGTTTCCAGTTTAATTCGAATGAAAATAAAAATACACGTATAAATTACAATACAACCAATGTATGAGAAAGGAATAGTTTAAGTTTAAATTCAAATGTTGACCAAATGAGATCGATATAAAAAAAATATCGGGATCTTCGGGGTTTTTTTTATAGCATATTTGTTTTATATAAGGAACATTGTCTATCTGCAAGTTTTAAATCGTCAAAAGTAACATGTATATTTTTTTTGTTAATAAAATAAAATAGAGAAAACCCATTGCTGGCAATTATAACAAACAAAGGATATGCCACAAAAATACGGGAATGAGAAAATTTAAAACATGAGTCCCGAATGTTTAACTTCCTAAATATTTTGCGACAAAGAAAGCATCGGGAAATGATAAAATATAGAAAGGAAACGAAAACGGGAAGAAATGCAATAAAAGGAATAAATATGCAAAAAATAGGAGAATATGAATTCAAAATCTAATTTATATTAAAAATAAATCTGTGTAAATTTGGACATTATTGTATCGGATTCATTAATGCGAACTGCTGCCGAAAGGAAAATTATCAATTATGGCCTGGAAAGACTGACAACTCCTGTAAATGAATTTCATTAAAAAAATATCTATACGACCACTTTGAGTTTTATTTGTAAATTTATGCATTTTTTCAGACAAACCGAAATCGGTTACCAAATTCACAACAGTAAATTGACATCATCAATAATATGCTTGAACGCCTGAAACTTTCTTTGAAATCGTCGAAATCGCCTTATTTTGAGGAACGTCGTGAAACGCTTAAGTAGTACCAACATCGTGCGCAACGTCAGTATATCTATGCATGCCTCGCATTGTTTTATCACAATTTTTTTTAAATGAGGATGGAAGATTTCGAGAATGCCATGAAAGCTGATTCATTGTATGTCTTCTTATTTGCCTCTCGTCCATATTTTATTTAATTTTATAGCTCTTGAAAGTGCATTAGCTATCAAATTCGTTTTCACCAATTTGACTCAAATTCTCATATTTGATTTATAGCATACTAAAACGTATATACAAATTACAAAAAAGTTTAAAATAAACAATTAACAATGCATGGACTCGATAATATATATCAGTATTTTGTTTGTATTTCAGTTTAGACGCCATCTACATGCAATTAACCATCGATATGCCTTCCGAAAACTGCCGACGGTCATAAAACCTGATATAAACATACATATAAATAGATTTCACTTTCAATGTTGACATTATTATCCTTTTAATAGCTGGACACGCCTAGCTAGTACCTGCGTAACCAATCTATAGCTAAGGGATTAAATTGAAGGTCATATGAATACGGATTCAATGAGGTCAAATTATTGACTTGCAGGCTCAAACTATTGCCTTACTTTACATCAGCGATGTTTTTAATCTTAGTTTAATAAATTTTGGCCAAACTGACTGCTTATATCGAAATATTATTTCAAAATTCCCCTTTTACTAGTACTTGAAACAAAAGGAATCGAATTTTAAATGTTTGTTTAAATCGTAGCTAATGCCCATTTAATTAAGATCAAAGAAATATTAAATAAAGAAATTATAAAAACCCCACCAATCAGTCTTCTTACATGTTGAACATTACCCTGAACTCATTTTAAGTTTCTAACACTCTATGCAGAAATTTAAATATATGGGTAATTGAACTAAAATTTAAATATATGGGTAATTGAACTAAAATTTAAATATATGGGTAATTGAACTAAAATTTAAATATATGGGTAATTGAACTAAAAGACTGTACAAAATACCGATCCGTTGTATACAACTCATGAAAATGAAATAAGTCCTACAAGAGAAGCAAAATTGTTTCAATGACTAAACGGAATAAAGAAAATGAACTTGACAAAAATAGTAAACTTACTTCTTTCAACAATAGTGAATTATGCATGTACTTATAATCATTTAATTCATGTGAGTTTTAAAAATAAATATGATTCATTATTCAATTCATATGCCGCCAATTTGCGGTTTGTTTCTAATAGTTTTATAAGTATGTTATATAAAATTAATATAGAGATATATGTATATAATATTGTGAAACTATAAAACAAACTCTACTTTTCCGTCCTTCTTGTGCCTTTCTGACGTGCATACTCCAAATCTCTGTTTGGAAGTTTAAAAAAACCCTCTTAGCCAGGATAGTACACCGAAGATAAAGAACTAAACTGGTATTAGCGATCAGCCAAGAATAAATTATGTGATAATAAAAAATAGAAACATAATAGCCAATAACTATTGTCGTATAAATGGCAGTCCTTTAATGAGACTTATCACCGAATTTATACTTACCATGAGGAACATGACGAGAAGAATTCTAGTTATCTTTCCGATCACTCCTGTATTTTGGTGTGGTTCGTTTGTTTTCTGTGCAGAATTTAGGGGACTTGTTTGTCGTTCGTCTTTTTTTTTTTTGCCATGGCGTTGTCAGTTTCTCTTTGACTTATGAGTTATAAATGCCCCCTTGTTATCTTCCGACTATTTTTTTATTCATCTACTTGATCTTTCTTTTTATATATCTTTCTTCCCTCTGCCAGTGTTTCCAGTGTCCTGATGAGGATGAATATGGGAGAGATGAGGACGCTGGAGGTTTCAAAAGACCGAGGTAAGAGTAAACAAGTATAAGCTAGGATAGTCAAGGGTTTGTCTGGATGGGGTTGACAGAATAGAGAATTATTGGCAAAACATACAGAATAATGGACAAAATATCAAGAATAGACAAAACTAGACACAAAAAAAGAAAGAATAGAGAAGAAAAAAAAGAAAGAATAGAAAATAATTGGGTGCTTCAATATAAAGAAATGCTAATAATGGGCAAAAAAATAAGGAAAAGAGAAAAATGGCTTAAAAATGTAAAGAAATGAATGACCCCCATCCAGACCCTCATAGTCCACCATGAATAAAGAAATACATTAGGAAGTGGCTTTCAGTCAATGGCAAATTATATTAAGAACAGATAATAAGACTTAATAGCAATGCAACGAATAAGGCATGGAGGAGTAAAGAAAACATAAGATACTGTTTTAAATTTGAAGGTACATTCTGGAAATAAAAATGTCTATCTAGTTTTGAGAACAAAACGAATAGGTTTTATTATTCTCTGAATAGAGCTCTAAAAATGCAGAGTAAATGCATAGAAAATCAGATAACAGTGTGTCGGTGAAATCTGAACAAATGTTATCGTCATTTTTGATAAGCTTTGGATTTTCAAATATTTTGGCCACAAGCATCACTAAAGAGACATTTATTATCGAAATGCGCATCTGGTGCTGAAAAAATTGGTACCGTTTATGTTATTATCGATATAAGAAATAGAAGTTATGGTATGAGTGCTAATTAGACAACTATTCACCACAGACTAAATGACATAGATGTAAGCAATATATATATGTGTCACCATACGGCCTTCACCAATGAGCAAAACCAATTCCGTTAAGTAAGCTATATATTATGTATAAATATATAAAGGGCCCAACATGAAAAAATTACAACTATTCAATCGAGTTTATTGTACATGCTTTATTCATAGAACAAGTCCTCCTTCACATTCTACAATAGCAACAGTACACAATAACGAACGTGAACCTATTGCGGATTATACGTACAATCATAGTCGGACAAATGAAAGGTAAGTATGTATAACCAATTGAGATAGCTATATGCATTATAAAGGGAATACCTATGTCAATGGGACAGCTATCTAACGATAAGAACAACCAAAAGACATCTAGAGGGCAACATACTGTCTTTTACGTTTTTTTGATTGAGTTAAGCCTTCCAATTGATATTTTATAGTGTGTCTTTCTATGTTGTGATGTTAAACTATTGTTTCAGAAAAAGGAGAAGGTTTGGTACCATTAAAACGTTTAATCCCGCTGCAAATGTTTGCACCTGTCCTAAGTCAGGAATCTGATGTACAGTAGTTGTCGTCTGTTTATGTAGTTCATACGTGATTCTCGTTTCTCGTTTTTATGTAGATTAGACCGTTGGATTTTACGTTTGAATGGTTTTACACTAGTAATTTTTTGGGGCCCTTTATAGCGTGCTGTTCGGTGTGAGCCAATGCTCCGTGTTGAAGACCGTACCTTGACCTATAATGGTTTACTTTTATAAATTGTAACTTGGATGGAGAGTTGTCTCATTGGCACTCATACCTCATCTTCCTATATCTATTGAATAAAAGTCAATGATAAGTAAACTCGTGGCTATACAATGTGTTGAGCTATAATATATCGTCCTCGTTTTATAATGTGAATAAATTAAACAGAAAAGATTAAAGATCTGCCATCAAAACAAAAATTCTAAAATAAAAACAAAACATTTATTTATGACATTAGACAACCATTGAATGGGTTTCTGGCTTGGTGCTGGCCCATGAATTTGTGGCAGGTTATTGTAGAAAATGGTATCTTTGAATACAAATTGGATGAACTCTGACTGGAAAATATAATAGCAGGAAAAACACCGAATACGAATTATAACTTTTATTAAAAGAACGACAAAATAACACTGAAACAGTAACGATGGTCTTTTTGTGTGAAGGTTTTCGAACTCTTGCGCAAGATAACAATCAGCCTTTAAAAAACATGAAAAGTTAACAAATTATTATTTTTCTAACAGCCTCGATGGTCTCGTGGATACATTCCGCCGTGCGAGTAGGATTCATGGGCGAGTCATACCAAAGACTTTAAAAAAGAAATTTGGTTTAAAAAAAAAATCATCCGGCAAAAAGCCGTAAAAATGTGACCGGGTAAGGCTACATGTATCCTGCGGACTAACCAAGTGAACCTGACATTAAAATTTTCCGTCAGACTATAACAAAGCAGGGTATAATTCTATAATATCAACATATTATCCCCCTATATAAGCTAATTATGAATGCAAATATTGCAACTGGAAACAAAGCATTCATTTCCTTCAACAACAATTTCCATGAATACAAAATAATTGTTTCGAATGTTTTATATTACCGAGTATTTGAAATGTATGATACTAAAGACAAAAAATATAATTTTCAGAATAGACAACTCACGTGTACCATTTCACCGTTCGCACAGTGTAGATGATAGAAAGCAAAAGAAAACAGAGTAAGAATAAATAGGTGGCACCAAGACAATCCTTCCCCGTACAAAAATGTTACTGTAGGACTTCCAGTAGCTATAGATTAAGATATCGAGGTCATATTCGAAACGAAATTACGAGAAATCGCAAATTATTAATTATTGGGAGAAAAAAACTTTTGAAGGTGTATTTTATACATTTATAAATCTATTTCACAAGTTTATAATTAAGTGGATACCTGGAGATATAAATGTTGCATTTATCACCTTTTCGATGCTCTAATAATGCAGCTAAACGAGTTTTAAACGCATTCAGAATTAAATAAAAATACCAAATGCAACAAAATTACTTATACTTTCCTTTACAAACAAAAGGAAGCGATAATACAATATTTATTATACATTAAAATCGACATAAGTCTATGCATTATGCAAGAAGTGACATAAGGATATAACTAAAACATTAAAACATGTCAGAAGCGTCTTTCGTTTTATACAAATTCGGGTAATATTGCTTAAATTGGGATTATAATTTAGACATTGCGAACTTACCACATTACGAACGTAACCATTACGAACGTATCACATGACTAACGTATAAATTTACTGATTACAAACGTATAAATTTACTGATTACGAACGTATAAATTTACTGATTACGAACTATCACATTACCATCGTCTAACATTCCGAACGTGAGACTGTACATTATACTTTTTGAAAATATTAGATATAGAACATTTTCATTTAGATAATTATAAAACATTCTCTATTCAGTACTTATATTTTAATAATAGTTATAGAATGCAAGAAGAATTGAAAGTACGAGAACAGGCAAATGAAAGGTAAGTTTTTAATTCAATTAAGCAAAACTGTGTTAAAAATATTTTTGAAAGATCGTCATATGATTATATGATATAGACAATTTGATTTAAAGAAAAAAAAGTTTAAGATATACAATAACATATATGGACTAACTTTTTATAAAGATTTGATTGAAACTTATACTAGTAGTGACGTTTCAAATATAACTGACGCTGCATATTCATCACAAAAGGAAGGACTTTGTTATACATGTGCGCGAGTAAAAGGCGAATTTATACATTCAAAAACATAGTAAAAAGACCTTTTTACTTTTGATTACAGTAAAAAAGTTAAAAAAATATAACCAGATCGAAAATTCAGTTACTGAACTATTTCCGCTGATTAAGAATTCATATTCATGGATATCTTTGGTTGTCATGACGCTTACCATGAAATGAGACTTAACAAAGCATTGAGATATGCTCTGTAGAGTTTGATTTCACTATCAATGAATAACGATTATAAAACAAAAAACCTACATTCTTACCTTGAATATAACATCAGAAGATGTGATACGATTGATAATGAGACAAATATCCACCAGATAGTAAATGAGGTAGAAGTTAACAACTATAGGTCCCCTATTGGCCTGCAACAATGAGCAAAACCCATACCTCGACATGACAATTGTAAAACAATTCAAACTAAAACACCAACGTCCTGATTTATGTACAAAACAATAAATAAAACAAAAAAAACAGAAAGACAACAACCAACGATAATAACTGAAACAAAATTTGTTTGTACTATTAGATTTAATGACAACTCTTCATTAGGAATTATGACAGTACATTTATTGATTCTAGTATAATGTCTCACAATGACGTTGTAACAATATTGTCTTATTTGCCGCTATCTGCCATATTAAATATAAATGGACAGGCATCATGTTCTTTTAAAATTTGTTTTCAGACTTCAACGTGATTTACAAAACTATAAGGATCAATTACAGCAATATAAAGACGATCTTAAAAGGAGCAAAAGGTATATATTTAGACTTATTGTTGAACATGCTGTCTGTAAATGGACTTGATTCCGGTATTTCTGATGAAACATGTTTTCTATGTATTAAATAGGCATGTCAGATTTCAGTGATACTCTGCATGCATTGTCCTTGGGAACATGCACTTCTTGTATGATAACAAATCAATTATTTCAAAATGAAAACGACTTCAAGTTGATGCATAACATAAGAGAGAGTAAAAAGAAGAACTTTTTTCTAAATTTTCTTATAAAGCGTTGACATTTACTGGTGCAGCTAACTAACAACAAAAATGGATATTTTGGAGGCAGTTTTCAAAAGCTTCTGCGCAATATCGTTAACAAACCTTGAGCGTGTATCGATTTAAAACATAGTTGACCCTTTCATATTTTAATGATTTAGAGATCTGGACACAGAAATCAAAGCAAGAGAAGAGGCACAAAACAGGTACAGTAACTGTGAATATTATGTATGTCGAATATATATGGTCTATTCTAAATCAATGGAACCATTTTGATTTTGATTTTTACGAAATTTTCTTCTCCTAAACAAAAGAACATACATTGAAATGAGAATAAAAAGAGATACGTTAATGAGACAGAAACCCAACGGTATAAATAACCAGAAGACACACAGTCCTAAACAACCGATGGTGTTTATATCAGTCTCTAAATCGTCCCTAGTTGTGTATAGATTAAATAGAACATCCAACATGCCTTTTAAAACAAACTTTAATTGACACAAAATACAGCTCAGGATTATGGTAGATAAGATACACAATAAGAATCCTTGTTACGTCCCCAAAAGGTTTACCAATATGGAATATAATTAAATCACAGTTTTGCAAGTTATCATCTTTTTAGATTGAGTGAAATGATGGGAAAACAGCTGAAAAATAACAATCCTGCAATTACAGACCTAAGTGATCCAGACAGACCATTAAGTCTGGTAGAGAAATTCTCTAATGTATATGATAATGAATGGACGGACACAATTGAAGAAATAGAGCAAGTGACAGGAAATGAGAGAACAGCAACAAAAATACTGCTCACTGTTGTAATAGTGAGTATTACTTCATTGATTACACCTGTTTGGACATGGTATAATATTTGGGCAGTCTGTTCAAAAGAATATGTTCTTGTTTGAACGTTTATTTGTTTTGAGTCTAGTGTAAAAGAGAGTCGAAAGATTCCAAAGAGACATTCAACTCATGAGTCGCAAACAAACTGACAATACCGTGACAATGCCGTTACAATGCCATGGCAAAAACACGAAAAAAGACGATAAGACAAACAACAGTACACAAAACGCATTATAGAAAACAAAAGACTGAACAACACGGACCACGTGCACACCTAAAACCGGGGGTGATTTCAGGTGCTCCGGAAGGTATAAGTGGTTGATGTGGTCTGTTGTACTGTCCAATATTTTTTGGTAATTCTTGTTATCCCTTTTACATAGTATTAAAAAGAAGTGATGGCTTTGAGTTTGTTTGTTCTAGTTCAAAATTTCCACATGGTACCTCGTCATTTATTAACTGATACTTTGCTTTTATTTGTTTCTATTATTTATGGGCACAATTTGGTAACAGAAAGGGGATATGCAGACAACAGAGTTGGTATAAAATATATGAAATGTGGAATATTGTAATAATTGTATTGATTGTAGAATTAATGACGTATGTTGTGGATCTGTGCATATACACGTGTATGATGATACTTATATAATTTTAACTAACGTTTATGTGAAATTAATAGGGTTAGTTCTTGATCATCATTTTGGAGTTGACAGTACTTCAGTTGTATATAGCAGTAGACATATATTTTTTTAACATGGGGAATTTATAATTGGTTGATTGTTTAACGTCCAATGTCAGATATTTAAAAACAAATGAGCACTTGGCATTTGGTTTTAGCACTTGTCCATCAGTGGAAGTCATATGAAGATATCTGTCGCCTTAGCACACACGAACTTTGTAGCGTCGAGAACACATTTTGTTAGAAAAGCAACGAAGGGATTTGGATGCTTTATGTAACTTAAAATCATCTGATTTTTACTTATTTCCAGCTGTCTTTTGTTACTGAATTATTGCCCTATTATTGACCATTTTTTTGAAATTGTATCAAATTGTAGGACACATACTCAGAATGTTTCGATCTACGACATAAAGGAAATTGTGTACTGGAACTAAAAAACAGTAGTGCTACTGTGCAACAAAAGGTAAGATATGGAAGCACAATCTAATTAAAATATAGATGTATGGTTTCGTTATGCTCATATCTGAAATTTAATCAGATTGATGGTGGCAAATCGCAAAACCCTTCAACAGCACCATTGCACAAACCCTTCAACAGCATCATTGCCAAAAACCCTCTTTAACATAAATCCTAGTACGCTGTCGTAATTCCGATTGAAAGTATGATTATCAAAACATTAGTAATTTTGACATTTGTACTTTTGTCGTATGTTCTTTTGACATTATTATGTCTCCCCGTCGACGAAGGGAGACATTATATTAATATGTTTTAATTGTGTTCTCTTCTTGTCCGGTCTATACATTCATCTTTTGACAATGGCTTATGGTATTTGGCATGAAGGTTTATAACTACGAGACGGTGTGTTGCATATCGTCATGATCCATATTTGACCTTGGTCATTGACCTCAAGGTCAAAATACTATTTTTTGGGACATTTTCGTATCCGTAACTTTTTTCCCGTATGACATATAGGCTAATGATATTTGGAATATGGATGTAGCATCTCAGGACGATGCGACATGTACCATTGAAGATGACCTTGACAGTCATATGACTTATTTTTGTATGTCCACCCCATATATATTCTTGCTTACCACTTCAAGACCTTTTCAATGCAACTAAGGATTAGCTCGTGAAAAAGATTATAAGGACCTTTGCCTTTTATCTCAAGGTCAGAATACTTAATATTTTTCGGACATTTTCATGTCAATAACATAACTTCTTTATCCTTTGACAAATCCTTATGATATTATTTGGCACATGAGTGCTGCACCTAATGATGATATGCCACGTACCATTAACGATGACCTAAGATGACCTTGAACTTTCATATTGAAGGTAAATGGACGACATTACTTTTAAGTCCACTAAAACAGTTCTACCTTTTTTACTTATGACATTGGTACGTTTGAGATGAATACTTTTTAACACGATATTACAAAGTAACTTATTGATTTAAAGCGTAAAACACACGAAATGACCGATCTCATGTCACATTGTTTTTATTAGCTATACTGTAACTTAACCCTGTTACTCTCCCGTAAACATTACGATTCCTCTACCACTCACAGTGGGGGTAAAACTTAATTCACGGTTTTAATAAAATAATGTCGTTTCTTACGATGAAACATTTTTATAGCACGTTTATCGTTTAAATTTACCTACTTGCTGTAACCTGGGATCCTGGTTGTTTGCTTGACCAACCGACGAGAAACAGACATTGAAGGTGCCAGACCACCAATTCAAAATCCCTATCTATTCAACCATTTTTTTTCAATTTCTACATGTCTGTAGCGAAAAGCGACCTTTCAGAAGGGAACTGCTTCTAAAAATAGCTACTGGTTTTCTGAAAATCTTAAATAAGTAAACTATGGGGCGCATTAATACTAAATTTTTAATGCAAACTCATGGACAAGTAAATTTTAGCTCAAAATGGTCTAAATATATTTATTCTTCAATTTTTGGTCTTTTTTTATCCCTATTCTTTATTATTTGTTCCACTTTTCTGTAGTATTGGTCCGATTATTTTCTATACTGTAAATCCCATCCAGACCCTCATTTATCTCATCCAGACCCTCATTTATCCCATCCAGACCCTCATTTATCTCATCCAGACCCCTCATTTATCTCATCCAGACCCTCATTTATATCATCAAGACCCTCATTTATCTCACCCTCATTTATCCCATCCAGACCCTCATTTATCTCACCCTCATTTATCCCATCCAGACCCACATTTATCTCATCCAGACCCTTATTTATCCCATTCAGACCGTCATTTATCTCATCCAGACCCTCATTTATCCCATCCAGACCCTCATTTATCTCATCCAGACCCTCATTTATACTATCCAGACCCTCATTTATCTCATCCAGACCCTCATTTATCTGGCTAGTATCTTTCTCGTTGGGTTTCGTGTAATTTACACACACACTGATGTTTTATGTATACAAGATAGATAAATCAAAAGTAACTTAAATGAGTCTGTTATGTTTTATTATAATAAGGTTTTTATTTCAGGTCAATGAAATAGCAGATGAATATAAAATTCAACTGAGAAAAATGAAATCAAATCAGTTACAATCTCTCAAACAGGTAATACATACGTTTCCATTCTTAATTCTATTTACTCATATCAACCAAATATATTTCCTATCAATCAAATGTAAATTTGTAACAACAACAACAACAACAACAAAAAACAGGCAAGATATTTAAAAAAAAAAGTAATTTTGCATTAAATAAAATGAGTTTATTTTCTTTGATTCTATCATGCATATATTTAAAATTTAAATTCTTTTAGGTTTAACCTGCTTTTCTGAGTTAACAAATACGGATGGAAATGGCCATATCACTTAAAAATATATAAATGATACAATTTCCAAATGCTCATCTAATGGTTAACATTTTTAAATCATTACGTCATTTAAAAAAAAATGATTTACTTCATGGTTAACATATAAATGAGTAGTTATCTACAGTAACATTTATTGATTTATCCAAAGTTATCTTTTTGATTATTATATCCGTGGAAAACATTTTAAAGATTACCTCTGTGATTAACATTTTAATGATTACATCGTGGTTAACATCTAAATGATTACATCGTGTTTAACATTTTAATGATTACATCGTGTTTAACATATTAATGATTACATCCGTGGTTAACATTTTAATGATTACATCTGTGGTTAACATTTTAATGATTACATCGTGTTTAACATATTAATGATTACATCCGTGATTAACATTTTAATGATTACATCTGTGGTTAACATTTTAATGATTACATCATGTTTAACATATTAATGATTACATCCGTGATTAACATTTGAATGATTACATCTGTGGTTAACATTTGAATGATTAAATCCGTGGTTAACATTTTCATGATAAATATTTTAATGATTCAATCTTTTTTTAACATTTTAATGATTACATCTGTGGTAAATATTGTTATGGTTATATCCGTGGTTAATATTTGACTGATAACATTCGTGGTAAACTTTGTAATGATAACATAATGTGGTTAATATTTTAATGATTGCATATGTGGTTTATATTTTTATGATTACATTTTTGGTTTACATTTTAATGATTACATCTGTGGTTAATATTTCAATGATTACAGGGCATTTTGCAGAAACTAGCCAAAGGTGTTGATGGTAAAGTACTGTCATGTCTCTCGCAATCAAAGAAACAGTACTTTGAGAAATGTCTAGAGTTGTGTTGGATCATGGTCTGCCATTCTCCGCCTATTCACCTTGATTGGGAATATAAAGGTCATTCATTTGACCTTCAGATATTAAGACCATTCACAGAAGCAGGAGATGTCGTTGATTACATAATTTGGCCCGTAATGTTTTTACATAAAGATGGACCTTTGTTATGCAAGGGAGTAGCACAGGGTCGAAGTAGTAGCTATCAACAGAAACAGGGCCGAAGTAGTAGCCAAAAAAAAAATCAGGGACGAAGTAGTAGTAGCCAGCATACCCAATTTTAGGGAAATTAATTGTATTATATATAATTGTATTATAGTTGCCTGGGTTGATGACCAACATATGGCAAAATACTCGGTACTTTATTCATGAGATTTGTATCTCGTGACTTGCCCTTTTAATTTCAATTACATGTACCTACTTACCTTGGTTGTAGGTTGTTTGTTATAAATTCTTTATCAAATATACGGAAAGTCAATCTTTTTCCGTCTTGATTCAAAAACAAACGTGCTCTTGAAAACTTTCTTTGTCGGATATTTTCGAATATTTTGTGTCATTTTGTGAAAACAAAACATCAAATTTAAACAGATTGTTGCCTAAAAGTAGAGAAAAGTCATCCTCAAAGGTGATTTCTTATATGTAGACAAATAAGAACAATGTCGTAATTTTGTATCTCACTTTCGCACGAATTTGGGTTATCTTATATGCTATGACAATCATACTAAGATTACACATCAGAAATTAAAAAGACCGAAAGTATAGAAAGTTGACAAATGTTCATTTTACACAAACAGAAGGCAAACGAATGTGTAAAATTCTTCTATTTTCGGACAAATTGTTGCGGAGACGTCACGTAAGCATTGGTATATTTATATTTTTATTTTCCCGGCATGTATAATCCTCTTGAAATGTTGTACAAATTAAGTCGATATGGTCGCTATGGAAATAATCAAAGTACTCTAAATTTTGTCATATGATGTTCTCATTTACATTTTATGTATTCTTGTTTTCATTTGCTGTAACATTTTAGGCCATGCATTTTTTTTATGGATTACGGCATTAGTAAACGTAAGTGAAAGCTGACTAATTGTCAGTCTCTTTCTATCTCTTAGAGTAGCGAAGCTTTTACAACAAGTGAATTACAAAGGATCAAAACAATACAAAAATCGACTCCTCGATAGCAAATACCGACCACTTTAATTGACAGCGAGCAAAATTCTAGATTGAATCAAACATGTTGGCATCCTTTCGTAAAGAATTTCACCCCTTTTCAGCGAATAATATAACATTCTGGCGAGTCACGAAACCGCGTCAGCAAGTGATATAATAGATAAATACTAACCTTTTTGTTCTTTCCGTATCGAGTTTAGATCCCTCGAATGTAACTTATCCTAGAGAGAGCTGTTATTTCCCATTTGCGGTAGCGAATCCCAACCAATCGTCAATGGGTGATGTACTAGAAAAAAGCATCGCCCTGGCCCCTCAGCACTAGCAATTCCTGATCTCTCATTAGTTAGTGATAAACTTTAGAAAGATACTTTACACCAGCTATTCATTAGTATAAGTAGTATGTCATTCATGCAGGTGGTTGTTTTCATGTGTTGTGAAAGGGTCATCTATAATCTGTTCGGAAGTGACGTCGTCTAGTAAGAGTGTAGTTTTGTCAGCTTTACTCTCGTTTTGTGCAATACGCAGTTTGAAAATACCATTGAAAGTTAATCATCCGGTTAAAAATCACACATA